AAGTTGCGTTTAAGTGGCGGTAAAACTGAGATTCCAACTAACGCGCTCTCCGGATACCACTCGCCGTTTTACGTTTCGCTAGAATAAGGATAGCGTTACGACGGTATTTAAAGGAATTTGCATAGTTAAAAAAGGATAATATTAAATATGTTTGCTTTTGTTGTTTAATAGCTTAGCCGCGATGTTAAAATTGGCTACGTTTAAGGGATCCTGTCTAACATTCTTGGCAAGTTATCGCTGTAGGGATTTTCTCATTTTAATTTTATTTAATTTGTGACAAATTGAATTTCTTTTTGTCACAATTGCTCTTTAATATTCGGCGAATTCATCAGCGGTAGTGGCGTTCAGAATTAGGCGGAGGACGTTTAAACGTTGTAACTGAAGATTACACAGCACAAGCGAGAGAGCTTTGAACCCTTATGAAACATTACAATCTCTGTCGACACGAGGCTCAAAATAGAATGTCGCTTCTTCTATTTGCGCTCCCTCGTGTCAAACCTTTCTGAGAATGATAATTTTGAAGCGTTTCAACAAAAAGCGCCGTGACGCGGTATCTTTGCGAAAATTAGACCCATATTTTGCACGACGTGGGAAGGTGGAAGCGAGATGTTAAAAATGCTCATGCCTTGGATCACAGCCGTTTTCCGCTCGGCCATCGCCATTTTTCGACGTTTTTCTCCATACGATAATCGGCACTGGCAGTCACGTCCTTATTGAATCGCAGTTGCAGGTAGACTGTCATTTCCAGCACTTGCAGAGGCTTCCGCGAAACCCGGCAAGTGTATTGTGATGTTGTCGACCTCTACGGAGATAATAAGTTAGGTTGGGGATTGACCAAGCGAGAAAAATGGTGTCACACGGTACGGTGTACAATTAAAAAATTGTGCAGAAACGCTACAATGTTAGGTCACGCAAAATTAAAGAAAAAGTAATAAAACATGTTAGAAAAGCGAGTTACGATAACGGACAATGTTTAACGTATCTGATAATAGTAAATATTTTATTATGATATATTAAGTAAAGGAATAATTGTAAAATAAATGAATTAATAAACTATTAAGTTGTCGGTAGTCTGTAATACATCGCGCAAATTGTTAAAGCATTTATGCATCGAAAAATGTTTTGCAACATTTGAGTTTCCACTAAATTAGGTGCGTAATCGCTGACTCAGGCACCAACATGGGTCGTTCTCACATACAATAAATAAACTCCAGTAAAGTATTTTACGTAACAAAAAGAATTACTGTTTCCCTAGTTTTCGCTGTATAACGTTGATTATACGACCTCAATTTTCTCGTTTATTGCAGAGCTATTTTATTATATTTCGTATGGTATAAAGTCTATAAGGATGTTAATGTTCTGTTGGGCGTAGATTTGTTTTTATGTGACATGTAATTTATGGGAATATTAATGCACTGTCGGCTACGAATTACTTCATTCCTGGTCAAAAACAGTCCAGCTCGAAAACAGCCTGCGAAAATGGCAGTTCTGTCGAACGCAAGTCAGTGAAATATATCGATAAAGTTTTTACTCCTGCAATTTGTTACAGAAGTTAGCTAATGGGAAAAATTAATGAGGCCACTATTTCACCTGAGAAACGTGGAATAATAAAGTGCCACAAAATATTTCTTTTTATATGTATATCTCTTAAAAAGTTTCTTATCACTTTTGTTCTTATGCATATTTATAATTGTACTTATTAATTAAAACAAAATTGCAAACTAAAAAATACAGTAAATAAATCATTTGCCCAAGCTTTGCCGCAACTCATGAGCTCGCCGTCCTCGCTCACTACACACTCGTGAGAGCGAAGAGACAAATGCTGGCTTACAGTTTAAGTCCAACTATGTCGTCGATAATCCTTTGAAGAACGAGGATCAAGCGAATAATGTGTTTTAGTGTCCATTTCTTGTTATAAAATCGTCGAGTTCAAATGCAATTCTGAATTAAATGTCGGTAACAAACTTGAATCGAAATTTTTTTTATCCAAGCACCAACTTATCGCAATTCACCGAATCTATCTACCAGCTACTGACGGATATTATATCCGGAATATTTTCGTGGAATAACTTGGAAAGTATTCCGAGGGTATGTCGAAGAATGTACTAACGGCTGGAATTTTAACCGACGTCTGTCCACTTTGTGCCTTATTAAATAGCGCTGTGAGGTTCACATGGAAGACTTTATTGTATATATGTACATACATATGTATGACGGAAGACGTTGCGAGAATCATTAAAAAATGGATTCAAAAATAAAAAATTACTTTATTATTAGTCTTCCCGTGTTAAACGCACTTCTGCGAATCCCGTCTGAAAACTTTAAACATATTCTGACTTCAATTTACCCACTTATTATAAAAGTTATCAAACTTTGAACGCATACTTGCATACAGAGTGGGCGTGTGTAAGATAGAGTAAGAAATGTTAATTCGATAGACAGTATTCTGATATTATAACGTGTAAAGTTTTATATACTCGCGAAATCCTCAACTTCGTAAACTTCGGGGCACTTGCGACATTTTTTTCACAAGCACATCGCTGTGCCCTAATGTGCGCAAACTGCAAATTGTACATGATGTATTATAGCAAAATATATAGTAGAGAAAACACATATTGGACACAATACTCGCCAATATTTTACGATCGAAATTAACAAGGTTAATACGACGTCAATATGTTATTTGGAATAAATAACGGTATTGTGTGTACGTGCATTGGGTGCTTCTATCTAAAATTTTCTCTTTCGCGACATCTAAACCACCACGCGATTCAATCCCTTTTCTTCGCCTGACAACTCCCGTTTCTGCGCGGTTAGTCTTGTATGTACGAACCAAAGATTCGAACTACCTACCTACAGTTACTTCCAGTATGTGGTACCAGAACCAACCAGTGGGTTGGCTTTTTGGTAACAGCGGTGCCCAACCGCGGCTAAATCTTCGCGCTGACAAAGTACGAGATTACTTTCGCCGATGGTGAATGACTGGGTACTTGGCGCTAAACCTTTTCCATCAGTGAATGAACTCTTTCACTCTTACGCGAAGGTGTATACTCGGTCCCTTAATTGGCTCCACCGTAATTCCCTTCTCAATGCAATTCTCCCCCAAAACACGGCTAATTGCATGATACGGCTGTGAGTAAATACTTCTGTAAGTATTTCACTAGTGCGCTGGATCGTGACTGAATTCAATATAGCCGGAAGAGATTTTGTGAACTTACTAAGTTAATAAAGATGACGAGATCTTTTGCGCACGGCTCTTATCTGTGAGTTTCAAGGAAATGATTTTGAATTCTATATATAATTTACTGCACGCACTCCGCAAGTCTCCTTATAATATGTAATGAGTATATTTTAAATGCTTGCCGGTCTATGTACATACGTTTTCGTCTTGTGTTCGTACAAATCGCACTGTAAATCACGTTGCTCTATTATGATAATGATTCATTTTTCTTTTTTTATATAATATAAAAACTTTCGCACGAAACACGACATGCAAAGTGTAGATATATCAAGAGCAATAAAAAATGGCTCGTGTTATTACATGCAAAGCGGTCTGAAATATATCACAGTGTCTGCTAAAAGAAAGTGTAATAGATAACCAGAGCGATTATTAATGAGTTGCTGTACGTTATTGTGTTACGTAAGCGATCTGCATCGCAGAACTGGTATCGAGTATCAGCTGTTACATGATTTACGATACTTTCATAAGTCGTTGCCTATAATCACGTAATCTTTAATGAAAGAGCGATGAGAAATGCTGGCAACTTTCCGAGATACTCGAGGAAATGCGAATTGCGGATATCAAAAGAAAATAGCGATAGTACGAGTTAATTAATTGATTGCGTTGCAGCTCTGAAAGGGGCCGCGCGGGTTAAACTAAGCTTCCGTCTAAATTATCATCGCAATTAAGAGTATAATTGCAATTTCAAACTTACGTCTGATTGTGAGTAATGTCGAGTGTGTATACAAATTAAAGCCTGTATCTCATTATTTTTCAGAAAAGATGGGTGAAAACGTATGTAACGTATGTAATTTACTCTTTAGTATTCTGTGTATTTAAATAAACATGAACTTTTGTGCAACTGTTCGAAACAATGAGCTGTTCGTTGTCTACGCGAGAAAGATTTGACCATTTGCGAAAATGCAGCTGTTCGCCACATCCTTATTTAATATTCTTGTGTACACGCCCTATTATTTTATATTATCTAATTAAATATTCAAGTTTCATTTGCGCCAGCGTTAAATCACTCGACATGGAATTCCGCAACTGTATGAAACGCGTAGTAAAATATGCACTCGGATTTCAAAAATGCCGTACTTTTAAATACGTGCTCGCTGGGAAAGAGCACTAAAGGAAATTATATTACTTCAATCACGGAGATGCGTATGCATATTTTTATAAGTTACACAGTTCATCAAGATGTGTAAAGCGCGCCGTAAAATGCTTCTTCATTAGGTGGCTCATTAACGAGCTCTGTACAGGTCATAAGATATACACACAGAGAACGTGTTACATATTTTGTCTCCGCACGACTCCCGTTCTCAGGTAATGAAATTTTCAACATCATTTTCCGGGGGCAAAAATATTCATCCGAATCTAAACTGCGCCCTGCCACTCTCGCGTCATCAGCGTTACCGTTGTCGAAAGTATGTCGCGATCTTCGACGCGTGCGATTCCCGATCAGCCGGGCGAACGGGGGTGTTCGCGAACGAGCGCGTGGGCGGATAGATTTTGGCACGGCGAGAGGGTGTCGGTGCAGTTAGGAGATCGGGAGACCAGGGTTGCATCCACATTCACCCTCTCTCTCTCTTCTCTCTCTCCCCATCTCCGTCGCGCTCTCTCGTTCTCTCCCTTCTCTCTACCCACCCGTTTCCCTGTCTCACACTCTCTTTCTCCCTCACCCAGCGCGACTACCGTCGGGAGCACCCAGGCGGGCAGTCAGTGCGTCGTCAGCCTCCGCGTCGTCGCGACGCTCCTCTCTCTCTCTCTCTCTCTCTCTCTCTCGCGCGCGCGTTTCCCTCGACTCTCTCGGTGGCGTCCGCAGCATCGCGACGCTACGACGCGCTCCGTCGACTATCCCATCCCGGGAGAGACGCCGCCGCTAATTTTCCTACGATATATACCAGCGACACGGACTTGGCCATCAATAATTATCGCATTAGGCGATGTTTTATTAAACAAATTTCTGTTTTTTATTTCACAATACCACGCGATACCACTTCGAAAGTGTTTCGTTCGATCTGCATAAAAGAAGAGAAGGTGCTGAGCTACGTTAAAATTGTAAAATATAAAAAAAAGTTTAAACATCTTGGCTTATTTCTTTCTTCTGCGGGGATTTTTTATGTAAAATATTATATGTACTTGTAATTAAAATATAAAAGTTTATGACTGTTTCTTTACGCGTAAAATTAATATATATTCGTTTCGAGAAAAAAATTACATCTTCTTTTTAAGAAAGCATTCCTTGGGGTAATTCACGGAAGATTGAAGACACTACCTGCATCTTTCGCAAGTTCGCTTCTTCATTACTTTTCATTGCATATTTTATATTGAAAAGAAAGACAAGTTACAGTTCGTAATTTATCATCCCTGCATGAAAAACTCTTTGTTTCGAACAAAAAAGAGGAGGAAGAAAACCAAACTGAGTAACGACAGTACATGCATTTCCTATATAGAGAAGTTATTAAAGGACCGGCAAAGGCGTCTTCTTGTGTCAACCGGTGTAAAGGGAAGCCAAATCGTGAAGTTTTTGCCAGACGTGTTCCATCTTGGTGTCTCGATCAAGTGATCTATCGGATTTCACCGTGGAACACACCAGCCTCTCAAGATTTCTCGCCTTCGAAAGTCACGCACGAGCGTTTTTCCTCTGCTTTCCGGAGCGTCGCGCGTACTTACTCAAGCCTTATCGACACTCGTGGATTTACTACTGCCGAGTACGTATCTAATTGCAGCAATTGAAGCTGGCTCCTCTTATTTCGCATGCCATTTGGAGTAGAGTGTAATGCAGAGCAGAGTAAAACAGACAATACGGTTGCATTTGCTTAAAAAAACATTTTTATATCATTATCAAGGAGCGTATTTTCTGTCACAAATACACCTTCAAAAGAAGAAATGAAGTTGTATCGCTAATTGTGTTTGTAATATAATTTTATAAAACGTATAATTTAAAAGAATATAAAATATTAAATTTTTAAGTTACGATCAAGTTCCGTTAAAATATACATGTGCTTAGTCTATTAGATTCTTGGGCTTTTATCAAAATTCGATTTCTACGATTCATATGTACCTGGTTTCTATTGCCTAAAGTGATCATTATTTTAAGTCTTCTTATTTGATCATAACTGCTATTGGCGTCTGCAACTGCACTTAAGATATTAAATTACATTACAAGCGTTGCGCTCGTGTTAAGTCGTAAAGAACTACGGAAGCTGCACACATATACAGAAATTCCTGTCTATATCTTTTTCTCTTAGGATGAGAATTGACGAAGTAGAGAACTGTACAACTTACATGGAAAAATATTTAAGATACGACATTAATCTAACATTTTGCGTTTTATACAACATTAATATTATGTTGCATATGTAATTGTCAGATAATTTCTTTTCTCACAGTATCCGCATAAATCATACTTATGTTGTTCTATCAATGCTTAAAATGACAAGTTGCATAGGCAAACATTGATCTTATGTCGCACATGGAAGTTCTACATCTGTACTATTATTCCATCCAAAGGATATCTAGTTTGGAGATTGATACAAACTATACAAAACAAGATATACCATAGCTTGGTGGATATTGAACGATATGCTTGCGGCAGATACGTGGTTACGAAGTAGTTTGATCGTGTTGTTACTCGCAGCTCTCTGACCAAGTTTTCCAAACTTTCTCGGCAAGCATCTTTAATATTAAACGATTCCTTAGATGTGGAATACGCAAATTTAACGGAAGATCAACTCGCAAAAGCTTCTTACTTGTTATCTCTAGTGATTTTCCTTTAGCAAGTTTTAACTGTTTACTTTTTTATTTTTGAGAATTCAAGCAATAAATCAACATGAATGGATAAAGCTACTAAAACAATTTCTGGTTTATCCTGTTATGTTCATGACAACAAATTTATCGTGTTAAGCGCAGATTGTATATAAAATTTTATTGAGATTTATTTTATTGCAACTTTTAATAAACTTTTTGATCTCGTGAATCTTTTTAAGTGATCTCGAAAAAACAAGTCTCCGTTTTAATGCAAAATTATTGCGCTGATAGATTCTCTGATCTTAAGAATTTTATATTTATCCCGTCGTAAATTGATAAAGCGCGCGGTATGAATCCATAAAGGACGTAAATATAATTCTTAATAGTCTCTTTTCATGAGATACAAATGTGGAAATTTTAATCTCGAAACAATTGATCATTTGTGGCACGAATTATTAATGAAAATCAGAAGTAATTTGTATCTCTGAAGGAAATCGACGAACTTGCCCGATGATTTTACCAATTATAGTGAGAAAGAATCCCATTTTTGCTTCGTGATAAATTCAATATATGCAAATAGCTGTATTCATGAAAGCTGCACTTCAATTTGTACTTGTAAACGCTTCACCTTAATAGTTTTCCAGCGGCGTCGCTGCTGATAGCTGGTCGTTTTAAATTGATCGCAAGCTCCGCTCGTGATATCCATTTCAGCGAATCGCGATGGAATTTATTACACTTTTCCACTATTATCGACGGAAGTGGCTTGTCGACGAGTATCAAGTATAATTCGAGCGCGATATGAAGAGTGGCGTAAAAATATCGTCGCCTTTATTATTCTTCTTCACCATATATATTATCAGTTTTTTTTACTCTTCCTTTCTCTCTCTCTTATAAAAGTGCCGTCGTCTGTGCGTATACGACGGCCATTCGCAGATCTCCATTATTGCATCGCAGAAAGTACATCACGGCATAAGCCCGTTATACGATACACCCATTCGCTCCCTTTCGAGCGTTTTAATTAATGATTTTACCGTAAAACGCTCGCGTCGTTTCACCTCGTTTCTCGGCGAAACTTGGAACGAGCCCCATTTTACGAGGCGCGAAACGTGTTTGAGTGAAACGCCTCCACTTCGTATCTACTGCCTAGGAAGCCGACTGCCAAGAATGTGTCTTATCGGGATTCGATAGAGCTGCTTTAACGACACGTATCTGATTAGATTAAAAAGATTGTATGGCGAGATACAAATCCATAAGATGTGACATCGATCAGATTACTCCGTTTGGAAATTACGTAATTTTTACGCTTTGGACGTTAATCAGTGAATACAAATAATTGTATTTACATTAGTAATAAAATAATTTGCAAACATAGGAGACATATTTATAGAAAACGATAAAAACCAAATTATTTCACACATAAAATAATCAGACGAATAAATGAAAAAAGTTTTGAAATTTTTCACGAAATTTTTAGGCAAATTCAAATATCGGAAAATCTTTATGGAATTTATATAATAAGATGACAAAAGAATATGGAACGGTATATAGTATTATTGCTTTTGATGGTGACGCGTGCGGCGGGGTATTCCGAGCTGGTATTTCACTGATAATTTTTACGGCTGGAACCAGCGAGCTACGTTTAAACGGATTATCGGGACTTTTTATGGATTCGTCGTGTGTGTGCCTAGCGATAGGTAGATAATATTAATTGGCTATGGCTATTAATCGCGACACGTAGCACTGAGCACTCGGTGTAAACATTTAAGCTAACGATTCTACGAGTATTATGCAACATTACATTAATACTATTACGATTCATCATTTGCTTTTGGATGTCTCGCTCCTTTATCTTGTAATAATAATTATAAAAATGCTTCTAAATCCCCTGTATATGTAGAACGTTTTTAAATATTGATGAAATCCTGTTAGTCTACTTGAAAAATTATTTTTATTATTTTAATTCTCGAGTAAGCAATGAGACTTTCTTTGTTGTTTTGAAATTTCATTAAAATATATTATATGTTTTTCGTGTATAAGTATTTTATATATTTTACATTTCTTAATTCTTGTTTAGATTATTTAATAAATCCTTTGTTAATCTTGATTTTGAAAGTTCAATTTGATACGAACTAAAACTTTGCTGTTTTGCGAATATGCGTTACAGATGATTGTACATGTTTCTCGGTAAGTCTGCTACTGACAAGACGACTGACATTGGAATTAAACTTCGGTTTGATGCAGTTTGCAATATCTTGTGGTTCTGTAACTATGTTATAATTTGAATATATCGACATTTAAACCATTTCGGATTCCATCTAGAGTCTACAATCTTGAATAATTATTTCGCAGTGTCGATCAATTATTATATAAATTCGCACTCCTTCACACAGTATTGCTAGATGTGAAATTGTAAGAAAAAAAAACGCGTTAAAATTTTGCCTTGCGGATATTGCGTTTTAATAACTGAGTTGCGATATTTGCAGATGTTTAAATTTATTTATGCTGTAATCTGAATGTAGCAGTTGCATGAAAAAGAACAAATTGCGCATGACTATTGCGTATACTTTGATGTTACATATGTCGAAGGAGAAACTAGTATAAAGCAGAAAATTATGCAGTCTGCGGACATTCATACGATATAACTAGATAATGCAATTCACGCTTCACGATTAATGTGTGTACGTATACACATGTAAATGATTTAAAACCTAATTTTATTTTTCGAAGAGTAAAAATTAAAATTAATTAGAAATTCGAATTATATGTTGGAACTATTTTCCGCACATTTATAATGTTTGTTAAGTTTATAACTGTCGCTGAAAATGATGTTGATATCGTTGAACTAATAAATTAGACCTTATTAATCAATAATTGTGAGTAATGACATTCGTTTAATTGTATATGAATAGAAACGAATTATTATATACAATATGCGCAATAATTATATAATATACCGCAAATATGCATTCACAAGTATTAATCATAATTACTTTATTTATAACAACAGCTGAAATTAATGATTTATATTTGAATGAATTATCAATGAATTGTAACTTTGCTTCTGCTGCGGACATAAAGTTTTTTAAAGTCGAAAACGATGATCACAAACGCGGAATTTGTAACAAAATTCCCACGTTACGTGCTATTTCATTCCACCACTATTTCGTTTATTTGCAATTGAAACCTTGCTCAACTTTTCGGCTAGTGGATTCGAATATAAAATCGTTGTTACAACGCTACAGTTTTATTTCCAATTTCCGCGTGTACACAAATAGGATATCTGGTGTAAATTCACTTCCGCGATAAGTTTCGTATAGTTTTGCAAGAGAAAATTCGTATACATTCCGTATTCATGTATCAAATGCAGAACATTTTCTTCATAAAACAGAAAAATTATACCACGTACAAGGAATGTCTTGTTAGCGTAACACAATTTTAGCGTAATAATACACAATGTTAATCCACTTTCTACAGGCAAGTATTAGTAACTTCGTTGTTTGTTTCGTCGTTATTAACGGTGGTCTTAGAAAAGCGCTCTCACAAAAGTTGAAACTAAATTTAGCAGGAAGATTGTTCTGCGTTTTATCAGGTTGAGGATTAAAACTCCTCTTTTCCATTGGCTCCTTCGTGCCGGACTAACGATTTCTTCTTCGTTCTCTTTACGTTTTAATATGCACAGCCGTTATCGCCATGTACAATTTTGTACTTTACGATTCCGTGTTAGGTGTTATAAGTAAGTTTTAAGTGAGATAAGATTTTCTATTAGAATGTAGTTTCACGACAATTGATGTGTATTGTAGTTGAACAAATTTTTAATTTCTCTACAAAATAATGTATAATCATTAAATTATTTGTCTTCTCTCATCTCATTTAACATAGAATCTCAAAATACCATTTTTTACACAATAATAATGGAAATTAAATATCCATTGAGCTTTTACTTCTGATTTTTTGCAAGCAA